AGTCACAGTTCTCTTAGAACTTTCTCAGCCCCACCTACCTCACCAGGTGACTGCTGTGGGGAGAGGAAGGGAAGGCAATTGTAAGCAATGTTCCCTCTAAGCTGAGTGAGTGTGAGCTAGCTCACAGTTTTTTAGCCTCTGGCTCACATATTCTTGTCTTCACTCAGGAAGGAGGGCTCCAGAGCAGACGAATTTATGCAGCTGCCAAATCGCTCGCTCACAACTTTAATGCCAGTTGCTCACAAAGTAGAATTGTTCCTCACAGGACTCGACAGCTTAGAGGGAACATTGCTGGCAACCCTATCCCAATCACAGGAATGGAACTTACATGTGTAGGGGTGTGTGTGTGTGTAGACCCTGTCTTCCTGGGCCAGCAATTTAAGGTTGCCTAGTGCAGGTTAATACATTCCTGGAAATTTGGGGGCGGAGCCTGGGGAAAGTGGGGTTTGGGGAGGGGAGGGGAGGGACTTCAGTGGGGTAGAATGCCATAGAATCCACCCTCCAAAGCACCCATCTGATGCAGCGGAACGGACCTCTGTCATCTAGAGATCAGTTGCAATTCCAGGAGCACTCCAGGCCACACCTGCAAGCTGCCAGGTCCTCCATGGCCACCAGTGAAGATGGGGGGGTGTAGGGTTGCCAGACCCAGTTTGAGAAACTCCTGGAGATTTGGGGGTGGAGCTTCAGGAGGACAGGGACCCCGGTGGGGTAAAATGTCACAGTGCCCACCCTCCAAAGCTTCCATTTTCTCCAGGGGGACAGATCTCTGGAGTCTGGGGATCTCCAGGCACCACCCGGAGGTTGGCATCACAAGGGCTGAACATAGGAAGTGGGGTCTGCACACTCAGACCCTCTCCCTCTTTCCATGTGTTTATTCACATTAGAGTTGTGTTCTTCCCAGTAGAGTTGCCAGCTCTGGTTTGAGAAAAACCTGGAGATTTGGGGGGAGGAGGTGGAGCCTGGGGAAGGCGGGGTTTGGGGATGGGGAGGCTTCAATGGGGTATGTCGCCACAGAGGCCACCTTCCAAAGCAGCCATTTTCTCTAAGTAAACTGGTCTCTGTCACCTGGAGAACAGTTGTAATAGCGGGAGATCTCCGGCCAACACCTGGAGGTTGAAATGGAATTCCAAAAACAACACCCATGACACATAACGAAGAGTCAATAAAGATAATAAGAATACTTTCGATTTATTGATCGCTTTTCCCCACACACCTGTGGGCTCAGAGCAATTTACAGTTACTCATGTCATTTGGACTAACAATACTCATGGGGAATAGGGAAGACAACATACAGCATTTTCAATTACACACACATTGCAGCTAGCCGGGGCTTCATCTGCGGGCTGGATCAGTCATGTTCCAACAGCATGTATTCTTGTCAGCTGGCTGATGACGTCAGGGCTTCTTGATGTTGCGCTGCCACACTGCCACCATCTGGCTGACTCGCTCCACTGCAGGGATGCTGAAACAGATCTTTCATCTTTTGATCTTGCCGCGCTACAGAAGTCACACTCGGCAGCTAACACCTTCCCAAAGGGTTACTAAGTTGCACATTGTAAAGACCTTGGGTTCTGTTATTAGAGAGTCAACATGGAATGTTTCCTTCAGGAGTCGATAAGGAGTGATTGATAAGAATTGGGATTGCTACACGCTCAGATAAAGCAGATATTATGAAACGAATTGTTCACATTGCGCAGTATTCGTTAGTGTGTGAGCGACAATAGAAGAAAATTTTCTACAGAAATTACTACAGTAAGCGATTTTGCAACTTATCTTTATTGACTCTTCATTATTTTTGTCACGGATGTTGTTCTTGGAATTCCACTTCCTCCCGTGATCTCTCATTTTTGAACACCTGGCGGTTGGCAAGCCTAATTCCAGTAGACATAAAGTCCTCTGCAGACGGATACTGCACAATCCACAATCGTCGAAATAGACTGTATCACTTTAGATCGTAGGTTGGGGGTATTGATTCTGAATATTCTCCTGTGTTGTTGGGGTTTTTTTTTTTAATCCATCCATTCAGTAAATGACCAGATAAAGGGGTTTAGTGTAGCCTTTTATGTTATGGAGTAGTTCAAAAAGGCAACCTCCTGTCTGCTGTCTGATGTAGCACAGCCCATCTTGCCCGCTCTGAACTTTACCACCTCATTCCACTGCAACTCCAGCCCCTATTTTGCTTCTGGAAAGGGTTGTAAACACCCTTTGATGCTGGCTTTTCAAAAGCTGGTATCAAAAGTCCCCCCTCCCCCCAAAAAAGAAAAGGCTTTCCCTGCAACAGTTGCAATCCTGTTTGATGTCAGGGTTTGTGGTGTTGTTTTTTTCCTCTTCCTCCCAGAAGGATAATTAAATTGATTTAGAGCTAGCCTAAAAACACTCAGCAATAGAAGCATCCTAATTCTCTCTTTTCCTTGTTCTGACATTAAAGTGGCCACAGACTGAATGCTTCATTTCAACACATACACGTTTGATTCGATTTATTTGCCGTGGATTAAGTGGCAAAACATATCTGACACAAATCCACTGTAATTCTCTCTTTCATCCGACCCCACCCTCCCTAGTACATCTCTCATGCGTTTCTCAGGCTTTCCCCCCCTCTCTCTCTTTTTCTTTTTACAAGGCATCATCAAAACTGCTTTACCGGATATGAGCCGAGAAAACCGAGAACAATACCAAGTGGTCATCCAAGCCAAGGACATGGGAGGCCAGATGGGTGGATTATCAGGAACCACCACGGTGAATATCACACTGACTGACGTCAACGACAACCCACCTCGATTCCCTCAGAGTATGAAGCCTTTCATAGTTTGGTTGTGTGTTTTGTTTGTTTGTTTTAAAGAAAGCTTCTCTAACCTCAGTAGTTCCACATTTGCCATCTGGGATATGAATACAGATGCACTTTAGGCCTGTTTACCCTGCAGCTGATTAAGGTCCTAAAGGAGCCTATGCATTCCACCTCTGTCAGGTCCTCCTGACCACCAGTGGGGGATGGGAGCATAGCTTTGCCAGATCCGGGTCAGGAAACTCCTGGAGATTCAAACATAGGGCCTGGGGAGAACAGGGACCTCAGTATGATACAATGAGCTGTAATGCCAGGGGATCCCCAGGTCCCACCTGGAGGCTGGCATCCCTATGTAGATTTGTAGTATAATATAATGATTAACACATGGAATTCACTGCCAGAGGAGGTGGCAGCGGCTACAAACATGGACAGCTTCAAGGGGGAATTAGATAAATATATGGAGCAGAGGTCCATCAGTGGCTATTAGCCACAAGGTATAGATAGGAACTCTCAGGCTGGGGCAAGGGATGCTCTGTCCTTTCGGTGCTGGGGGGGGAACAGTGGGAGGGCTTCTAGTGTCCTGGCCCCACTGATGGACATCCTGATGGCACCTGATGGCCACGGTGTGACAGAGTGTTGGACTGGATGGGCCACTGGCCTGATCCAACATTGCCTTCTCTTACATTCTTATGTTCTTAATGTTGGGCCTACCAGCCTTACTAAACAGTCAAGTGGTAGCTTTAGGGGAATATTTCACTGTTTGTAACAAAACAAACCTAATAGCCACCAGATATATGTAATGAACTGGCAGGTGCTTAATATGCCCCCCCACAAAAAAAACCCCTGTGGGTTTCCTGTAGGGTTACCAGATCCCCCTAAGCCATGAGCGAGGGATGGGGAGGATAGGCTTGCCAGATCCAGGTTGGGAAAATCCTGGAGATTTGGGGATGGACCCTGGGGAGGACAGGGACCTCAGTGGGGTACAATGCCATAGAATCCACCTTCCAAAGCAACCATTTTCTCCATTGATCTCTGTATTCTGGAGTTGAGCTGTAATTCTGGGGATCCCAGATCCCACCTGGAGACTGGCATCCCTAGTTTCCAAGCAGATGGCAAAACAAGGAAATTTATTCAGCCCCTGATTGACCATCATATATGGCTGGTGGGCAATCATCCTCCCATGGATGTGCAAGCTTGCTTTAAAGCATAATCCGCAGATCCGCTGTCACCACAGGCCCAATTTACCTCAAGGAAATATCGAGCATATCAGATGGGGTTGGGAGCAGTGTTCCCGCTAAGCTGAGTTAGTGTGAGCTAGCTCACAGTTTTTTAGCCTCCGGCTCACACATCTTTGTCTTAGCTCAGGAAGGGATGGCTCCAGAGCAAACTGATGTATGCAGTAGCCAAATCGCTTGCTCACAACTTTAATGCCAGTAGCTCACCAAGTAGAGTTTTTGCTCACAAGACTCCACAGCTTACAGGGAGCATTGCTCCAGAGCAAACTAATTTATGCAGTAGCCAAATCGCTCGGCCACAACTTTAATGCCAGTAGCTCACCAAGTAGAATTTTTGCTCACAAGTCTCCACAGCTAAGAGCGAACATTGGTTGGGAGATACTGGAGATCCGGGGGGATAGAGCCTGGGTAGGGCAGGGACCTCAGCAGGATACAACGCCATGGCATCCACCCTCCCAAGCAGCCATTTTCTCTTGCTTTTTCACCTTTGCATATTAGGTGAGACCCCCCATAGTTCTGATGAGAGCCGTCCTTGAAAAAGAGCAGTCTCTGTCAAGAGCTCTCTCAGCCCCACCCACCTCACAGGGTGTCTGTTGTGGGGAGGGGAAGGGAAAGGAGTTTGTAAGCCCCTCTGAGACTCCCTTGGGTAGTGAAGGGCAGGGTATAAATCCAATCTCTTCGTCTTCTGCTAATGTAACCAATCCTCCAAGAGCTTACAGTAGCCCCTGTAAGAAGAGCTCTGTAA